AGCATGGCCGGAGAAGCGGTGCCTCGGTGCGCGCCCGGGATCCGAACCCAGGCCGCCAGCAGCGGAGCGCGCGCACTTAACCACTAAGCCACGGGCCGGCCCCTTAAGTTTACTTTCTTTAAAATTCTAGGAGAAACCATTGTCCGACAAAATTGTAAGAAAAAAATTTCACTAGACAAACTGTATCGCATAGTTTTGAATTAAGAGAGAACAGAGACACTCTGTGCCACACGAACCTTCCCCATATGCCAAGCCGTCAGGGAGAACATCACTTATAAATATGCGGCTGAGATGCTGATGCTCATCTACCTGCGCTGTCACTGCAAACCCTAGGAATGAAAATAAAAGGGAAAAACAAGTTTAAATTCATCACACTAACTAATTCTCCAACTCAATCAGCAGTATTCCCTCGCACATCTATTCTCATAAGTACGGTATATGTTGAGAAAGTCTAAATTACAACAATTTTGAAAGCACAGATATCTAGCAAGAGCAGAAAAAGAACATACCAGACCTAAAGGTTTAAGAAATATGACTGCACAACCTTACTCAAAAGTTGAGACCATATACCCACGTTTAGAGCAGCATTATTCACAACAGCCCAAAGGTGGAAGCAACCCAACTGTCCGTCACCAGATGAATGGATAAACAAAATGTGGTATATACATACAATGGAATATTATTCATTCATAAAAAGGAAGGAAATTCTGATACATGCTACAACACAGACAAACCTTGAGGACATTACACTAAGTGAAATAAGCCAGTCACAAAAGAATAAATACTGTATGATTCCACTTATATGAGGTACTTAGAGCAGTCAATTCATAGAGACAGAAAGCAGAATGGTGGTTGCCAGGGCCTGGGGGGAGAATAAATGGGGAGTTGCAGTTTTGCAAGATGAAAACAGTTCTGGAGATGGATGGGTTAAGGATTACACAACAATGTGAATGAATTTATTGTCACTGAACTGTCACGTCTAACCATTCTTAACAATGGCTATGACGGTAAACTTTATGTCACATGTATTTTACCACAATTTAAATTTTTTTCTTAAAGTTGAAACAAAAAAATATTCTTATTGAAATAAATTAAATTCAGTTCAATACAAAATATTTGTTAAGAAACAACTCTGTAAGAGGTTAGGCACTTTAAGGAGGTGGTAAAATACTTGGATGGATACAGCGCTGGCCCAAAATATCCCTCCATGTGAAACTGAGGTGAGACCTCGCCTTCTCTAAACACATCTCCCTGACTCGGAGAGTGCCCTCCACTCTGATTCCAGTCGGGGGCACGTGCTTCCACGGCCTAGTCCCCTAACACTGGGAGTTCTTTGACATAGGAAGAATGGCATGTTCCCCTTTTTCCTCTGTGCCTCAGGCAGAGCCTGGCAGATGGTGTCACCAAAAGCTATCTTTGCAAGTATCTTCATGCCGTCTTTCAGTCACTCAATACAAACAAGATTCACAAATGGTGACCATGGACAGTAGAGTGAGGGCCAATGGAAATATAGACAAAATGCTAAGAGGGCTTCAGAGGAAAAACCAACACAGCATTTGGGTCAAAACAGATTAGGTAAATTAAGAAATAAAGAACATGTCAATTATATCAATTTAAAAAAAAAGAAAGAAATCATTAAATGGAAATTTTCACATATTATAAACGACGACTAGCATTTGATCAGCTTGAGTCATTTTAAGGGAAATAATTATATCAATATATGTAACAAGATAAGAAATAGCCTTTCTATGGAGATATTTATTGATTATTATCTAATTATTGAGTTCCTACGGTAAAAGACAAAGAAAGATAGAAATGAACTTTAAGACATGAGCACAGTCTATAAAGAGCTCAAAACCAAGTTTAAATACAGACCATAGAAATGCAAGAATTAAACACTGTCATGCATCGCTTAATGACAGGGACACGTTCTGACAAATGCGTTGTTAGGCTATTTCATCATTGTTCAAACATCATAGAGTGTACTTACACAAACCTAGATGGTACGGCCTACTACACACCTAGGCTATATGACACTAATCTTATGGGATTACCATCATGTATGCAGTCCACCATTGACTGAAACATCAATGGTATAGTAGCATATATAGCTATGGAGTATAGCACATGACTATACTACAAAGTGATTCGGGTAATACTGACCCTTAATTGTTAAACTGAAGCTAAAGCAATCAGAGAAGGCTTCTTCAAAAGAGTCAGACCTTTAGTTAGTGCTTGAAGGACAGATGGGATTTACACAATCAGAGAGGAGGGAATGGGGAGGGCAAGCAGTGAAGGGTAGAATTCCAGGTGGGTGAAGAGCCAAGAGCTTTTGAAAAAGCTAAGACACTGAGATGAAAAGAACTGTCATATGAATCATGAGTTAATCAGCTTAGAACCGAGCACACAGTAAATTCATTGTAGGGGTTATTATTATCACCGTCATTTCAAATTTCTCATCAATTTTTATATTCATTCCTTTGGCATTTTTTCCTAGTATTAATACATATCTTTTTAGCCTGCTAATATAAATAAATAGAAATGAAGGAAGAGAAAGGAAACTACTGTCATAGTTTCTGAAATGTAGACACAAAGAAAAAAAAATTAGGTCCAAAGATACTGGGGTAAACTAGGCAAGGATGGACAGCACAGTTCTCTGATCAGGGTGCTCCTTCTGCTTACCAAAGTCAGACACGCTCCCAGTCTTCGTGAGCTGCACGTCATAGACATTTAGTGGAAAGACTTCTATTTCATCATAAACCTACAAAAGGTAAAACAACAAAATCAGAGGATTTGCTGTCATGATATCTTGGAAATTCATTTGGATTGTTTCCCAATTAGATGCCAAATTTAAACAGAATTTTCTCTCCAAATTACATATTTTTAAAATCAAGAGGCCAGGGATACGATTCAAATTTCCTTTTCTAAGGGGTAATTAGGCACATGTGTACAGTGATGGATGGTAATTAGTTTTTGGGTGGTGAACATGATGTAGTCTACACAGAAATTGAAATATCATGATGTACACCTGAAATTTAGATAATGTTATAAACCAAGGTTACCTCAATTAAAAAAAAATTCCCTTCTAAAGCAAACACACACTTGCCTGTTCTTGCATATATTCGTATGGTGCAGGAACACAGTACTCAGTGTTTTCATCGACCACTTTTCGGAGTTGGAGGCCATAGTGGCTGGGTTCCAACTGCCTCATCTAGAAAGAAAAAGACAGTTATTTCGATTTTAAATGTTCTTTCTAAATTCATCATTGCTCATTAAAAATCAAAGTGGAAATTTCTAAAAGAAATACTGCATATAATTTGCTGAGTTTAAACCTATATAAGAGCTCAAAGTTAAATGTGCAAAAAAAGAAAAAAGTGGCAAATAATTATTTTTGAGAAGGTTTTCTCTAAATGATATTGCTTGTCACTAAAAGCAAGAGATGTATCTTTAAGAGGTTATGGTGGTATATATCTGGTAGAATATATCTTAACATCTCAGCAAATGCTATCTCTTTATATATTGGTTGTACCTAACTTTAAGTTGTTTTCCATTACTAAAGTAGAGAAATTTGTGAAATGTAAACAATCTCATATTCTACACACTTCAGAATAAGGAATTTCCTACTCCAGAAACTTTTCAAAAGGAAAATGTGTACACACACACACACACATTCTCTCTCTCTTTCTCATCTTCTCTCTCTCATACACATTTTCAACAGTGAGAAATTATCTCAGGCCTATGCTTTAACTGGGTCTAATTGATCCCCTACTTCTGACATCCTCTACCATTTAGAAAATTTATCAACTTAATAACTGATATCTTTGGTATAAAACAATATTGTCGGCTGCCTAAACAAAAACCTTACATAACGGAGTAAAGGGAAATTAAATTCATAAGAATATAAACTACATATATAAATGTCTGGTATCCTAAAGCTTAAGTCAAAATGACACAGGAAGACTAAATTAAAGATCATCCACACCTATTAAGTGCACATGGTAAAGAGTTACCAACTCCACATGCCTTTTTTACCATTTCACACATTTGATTGCGTTTTCTCTAAAAACTTAAAAATATTTAAGCTCTACTACGCCATCTGGTGGTCTGAAAACATCTGATCTGATGTTGAGTCTACTTCATCTATCAGTGGGCTCTCTTTAAGACTTATCATCACTTCCTTCTCAGAAATAAAACATCATCTCATAACAACCTCCATGAAGCAACTGTGAATGGTATTAAGTTTCTTGTTTAATCTAGAGAAACTTGGTGAAACTATTGAGGATTAAATCAAACTACCTCAAAGTTGATGCCTCTTTCTTAGAGATAAAGCACCATCTCTAAGTAACTTAAATAACAACAGACGACATAATTATTCTAGATATAAAAGTATATATAGAATTTCAGTAAAATAGCTCAGGTTCGTCATGAAGGCAAAAAGTCATCACCTAACGACTCATTCTTCTACAAGATGGAGGAGGATGCTAATTAATAAACATGTTAATTAATAAATATGTTACTATGTTCCCTAGTGTAGAAAGTGAGGTCTTAAACACAACACAGATTTCGAAGGCACAGGAGTGCAATATTAATGATTATTTCTATTCAGAAGCGTATTTCTGCCGCAAAATCCAGTACCTTGCATGCCAAAGTCAAAACATCTTCTACTCGGTGTTCTGGCTTAATCACTACAGTAACTCCTTGATGATCCTGGAAGTGAATGTGAGTCTGGATTTCCCAAGTGTTGTCTCGGGGAACACCATCTACTGCTGAGCCATACAGATGCAGAAGTTCATCAACCTGTTTTTAGACACCAAAAGAACATGCAGACAGATGAGATAAACAAATGAGGGGAATACTAAATAATGTCCCCTTCATTGATGGTGTATTTTATAGTAAGCCCTTTCACACTCCTCACAACCCTCTGGGGCAGACAAGCCAGCTTTTCCTCATTCATTTAACCCACATGAAACTCAAGCCTTGGAAGCTGAGTGGAAGTCAACTGTCCCCTTGTCCAGGGTTCTAGCCACTATGCCCTTTGCCCCTTAGCCCAGGTTAGAACAGTGTGGTCAATGTCAGGGCTCCACAGTATCCACTACTCCTGCTCTAGAACTGTCGGTTGACAATTCTGCATCTAAGCCACGATCCCAGTGAACTTTAATACACTCTCATCCATGGCCATTGGCACCTGCCAGCATCCTAACCCCGAAGTGCACTTAATCCAGCACGTTTCTCTTCTCTCTTATTTCTACTTCTTTTTTACAATCAACCCCTAATCCTGGGGAAATTTTTTTTCTATTATATTTCACATCAAGTCACTTGTTTAGAAATCATCCCCAAACATATCATCTTCAGGAAGCTTTTCCCAAAGAAGTTGAGTTTCCTAAACTTCATCATCACAGTAATTCAATGACCTCATGCTAATATGTATGTCTAAACTTATAAACAAATATAGTTAACATTTATCAAGCAACTCAGAAATGTTTTTCCTCTGGTTAGGTTCTTGCATTAGTCTGGTGGTCAATGCATTAGTCTGGTGGTCAATAAAATACTTGGGGATTTGAAATCAAAAGACCTGATGCCCAAGTCACAAACTCCACCACTCAACTAGCAGTAGGGCAAGACATTTACTTTGCTGAGCCTTGTCTCCTATTCTGTGAAAGGAGGTATTATGAATATAATATAATTACTTAACTTGATTAAGTAACAACACAAATTTTTTGTGAGCAAAGGAGATCATCTACACACTCTACACACTAGAAAACGTTGCATATAGATTCAATACCATCACACTATTACATCCCACTCAGCATACATTAAAGTTATCATTGATGGGTGATTTTACTCTGAATTCCATGCACTTTTTTGTTAAAAAAAAAAACAAAGCAAGAGATTCTCCTATATAGGATTTAAAAACTAGAATAGATATATTAAGAAAATTCAAAAGAACAGGTGCAGGCAAAGCAAGGGAAGAATCCATCTTTCTGTGTTGTCTTTTTTTTAAATGTGGTGCTCGTCTTTGAAGTGACATTTCTGGATCTGTCATGGATCTGTCACCCTCCGTACCTTTTCCTGGAAAGACGATCACAGCCCAGAATGAATATGAACCTCATGTGCCAAGAAAAAAAGAGACAGAGGAGCAGATGCGTGGAGCCAAGGACTCAGGGAACCAGCGTGGACACCATTTTCTCCTGAAGGGTCCTATCTCACAGGGACCATATTTTCTTCTCTGGATCAGCCTCCAGGTGCTTCTTTTCATCTGGGCAGTGATTTCTACCAGGTGCATCAGCAACAAGCAGGTACTGCCTTAAAGGCGCAGACCCCACCTCTCAAACCAGGCTTGCTCAGAATCAAACTAAAACCCCAGCAGAGGTCACTGTCGAGTAAGAAACCACACAAAGAGCCAGGCCAAGAGGAAGTCAAACAGACCCTCTTACTGCTGCAAAGCTATTTAGTTCTGTGCTTTTAGAGCAAACAGGAAAAATGTGACTGAGGATGGACAGGTAGGGGAAGGAAGGACATGAGAAATACAAATTCTCAACTATCCTTATCTGCCCCCCGTTCCCATCTCTTACTGTCCATCATAGAGAGACTCTATGACATGGGGGCCATTTTTCACATGCTATCAACTCCCCCATTATTCACGACCCTCTGAGGTAGGCACAGTCCTAATCTTCTGTTTAACAGGTGAGAAAAATGAGGCTCAGAAAGTTCTAGAAACTTGTCCAAGCTCACACAGTGAGCTGTGACTGTGGTACTGTGGGGGACTTGATCCCTGAAAACCCGGCTGTGCTTACCACCACTACACTACAGAAATATCAGCCTGGCAGTTACCTCCCCACAAAATGAATGCAATCTAACTTTCTCGATTCCTTTCTGTTATTCTACGACACACACCACATTCTGGTTGAACAAAGTGGCTCACCTAACATTCCCCACAAAGGAGCAGCACTCTCCTGCCTCCGGACCCTTGTTCACTTCAATCTCCTTTGCCTGCTTTACCTTCCTCACAAAGTGCAGTGCTGAGACCACACACATCCTTCAACCTTATTTCGAATACTATCACCCTTCTCATGAAGTCTCACCTGCTCTCTTCCCCTCTAACTCCAATTCCACTCGGTTAGATGAGTCTACTCGTCTATGTCCCTGGTGTAGCACTTAGCGAAGCCTAGCTCACTTGACAGTCATTTTTAGGCTGCTCTCACGCTCCCAGGTGCTAAGGTGAATGACAGCAGCAGCTCTGTCTTTCTCATTCTCAGCGTCCTTCAGCCCTAACACAGTGCATCCTGCACCCAGAACACACCCAACACATGGGTATTGAATTGGATGCAACTAGAAATTTACAGTCATATATACGCCTGGAAGGTAAAACCTCTCCATTTTCAGGATGTTATTCAAATCTCTTTATACAGTGTCAAGTTCTTAATCCCCCCTAAACTTCCAAGAAGAGAAATTAACAGAAGATTATTGAAGGGGAAGAAGTCCTAGACAAGAGAAAGGTGTGTAGATAAATGCAGAGATGGAAAGAAGAGCAAAAGAAATATTATATTCAATTAAACAAGGCTTTGTGCCTACACCCGCCCTGAGGAATCATTTCCTGCGTCTACACTGTTGACCTAAGATCCAGTAAATATAGAAGACGCCTATCAAAGCCACGGCCATGGAAGATTCAGATCCTCTCAGGAGATCCTACCATGAAAATTTACAAGTAATTCTTTCCCATGCATAAGACACACACACGTGCACACACACATATACACACATGCACACACACATTATCTCACAAATGTATGCAATTAAGAAAGGTAAAACCTGGTTATTGAAAGGAAGCATCAACAATGTGGAACTGATTAATGAATGAATTAGAACTAGAAAAAGAAAAAGCTATTTGGTGCTTACAGATCTCCTGGGTTGTTGCAAGCTTTACCGACTTGGAGAGAAAACTGGATTGATTCCCTCAAGGGTCAATGCTAGCCAGGCTGAAAACACACAAGCTTTATTTTCAATAAGCCAGATAAAATAATCTCCCACGTTCTTTTTCATAAAAGGAACAGAGAATCTTGAAAATGAACACAACAAACTGAACCATCTGGAAAAGCCATCTTTTCCCAGCTTACCCTTTTCAAAGGTGATTAAATTTATCTTTTAACCACTCACCCAGAAGTCCATGGTTGGCTATCTCTGTCAAGACTATTCAAACCTATCCTACCTCTAACTCCACCTCTCCCCTGCCTCTAAAAATTATTTCCAATTAGCCTGTTCAAGGTTTCTAGTTCCTGGAGAAGACAAAGCGAGGTAGGAAAAAAAAAAATAGACAGATAATCTGGGTCCAATCCCAGCCCGCTCAGGGCTGGTTATCTAACGTCTCTGGGCTTCAGTTTTTTTACCTTTAAAAGGGGCTAAAAAACATCAGCCTCATGGGACAGTCAGCAGACTGGTGTGAGGAATGGCATTTGAAGGTACGTAAACTGTAAAGGGCCACAACAATGTAAAAGAACTTTTTTGAAGTTCAGTCTGGATGGTGGAATTATATTGCGTAATTCAACAATGGCCATTATGAAGAACTGCATGAAATTCATTTCTTGTTTCAAAACCCTGGGGAACTGTGGTGGCTACTGATGCTCAGATCACTGTGTGGTCCAGCTCTGACTGTCTACAAAATCCATGAAATGGGAACAACATCACTGAACTGCAGCCATGGCCGCTACAGACTAACTAGTTAAGGTTTGCAAATCACTTTAACCCTCCTTGCAGGGCAACTTCTGCAGAAGCATTTATTATTACGATTACATTAATGGTCCCAAAAGCATGTGTCAAATTACTCACACTCATGGTGCCTCAAGGAGAGAAAACTGAAACTCCGCGTGTTCTCACCGGCAGATGCTTTTGGATCAAATGCCTTGTAATTACTACTTGGATCACTGAAGGGAAGTGAGTAGCAAAAATCCCAATCTGGCTGTCACAAACGGGCCCACACCCCAGTTGCTGATAAAAGGAAAGTCTATTAGCAAGTGAGATGAGGAGAAAACACAAAAGGAGTTAACACACTCTTGGTTTTCTTATCAGTCAAATGTCAGAGAGGAGAAAGTGTTTATTTCCTCTTGGGCTGATGCCCAAACATCAGTTGAAATGAAAGGAAAACAAAGACCTCTGTATATATGTATCTATCTATCTGTATATGTACGTATGTTATGTAGGGTTCCATACTAATATTCTATTTAAACAGACTACTATGTTATGGTGAAGAGTAAGGAGTTTTATTCATATTTTCCATTTAAAAAACCAACATTAGCATTTTTTTTTCCAACTTGGAGCTAATGACTAACACGACAATACTTCATTCACTCCCTGCCACAGAAAGTTGGGACGTCCCAAGCCAATTTTCCAAGAGAAAGATCCAAGGCCCACGGGCTTCAACAGTTTCTGCAATGGAGATTCTGGGGTGCCTGCCATCCTGAGCCTCAGTGGGGGATTTGTTGTCATAATCTCCATAACAAATACCTCCCTTCAAATGCTGATTGAGACTCATTATTACTCATCAAGAAGTACGCTAGGAAAAGCTTTCATTTTTGGCGAGCCAAAGTGTCCTTTGAAAAATGCTCAAATAAGACTGGCTTTATTCCAACCTTAACAGATTTCAAATTAGGGTGACTCACTGTTGGACTGTTACATGATGCACCAATTAGTGAGGAATATTTAAAAATGCCCGTGACCCCCTCCCTCCCAATGCTCAGGAATGACTGCCTTTCTGTGTTACGCTAGTGGGCATAATATACTGACTGTATACAAATAGATGGTTTGTGCAAGTTATAAATAGTCTCCAAGAATGATTAGCAGAGGAAAACTAGTAAAATAAAATATTAATTATTCGACCAGCTACAGGCAGAATTTTAAGTCCCAGAGATATAAAAAGCAAATACCCTTAATTCTATCTGCAACTCAATTTAAACCTAGTTATCCGAGTACTGCAGTACAGAAATGATAAATACACCATTAAAATAGCCCTATAAGTCGAAAGAATTTCTTCAGTGTCTCTCTACCAGAAGCAATGCTTAATTAAAATAAATAGCAATAAATGTTTAAATACATATGCTTTAAAAACCAGGTACAATTATACTTTCCTCTCACCTGTTAGAGACCCCATGGGACTTGCTGATTAAATCACAAGATAATCATTTGGTGATTTGGTCCCAATTTAAAGAAGCACTAAGCCTAATTCTGACCATTAATGGCTATTTTAGCAAAATTTATTTTCAAAGTCTAACATAAGTTCTGTTAATAGAAAGTGATCTGATGATATAATTTCTTAACTTTCAAAGTAAAAATTTTAAATTGTTATTTAATGTTGGAAGAGATTGGACCTTAAAACAATGGGCTTTTATTGCAGATCAAACAGTTCTCAACCATTAAAGGCCTACATCTAATATAGGCAATTAATAGGCAAATTTATTAAGAAATATTGTATCCTTAGCAGTGTGCTATGGATGGAGAATATATACATATATTACATACATAATACATACAATATATACATAGTCATAAGATATATATAACTATGCAGAACAAGGGTCCTAATTACAAGCTTGCCTGGGACACAGGACATATATACTTGGTAGAATAAATAACAGTAAAAGGTAGCCAGAACCAAGCAAATAATAGTGATACGATTTTCTTTTTTAAATCTAGTAAAATCCCTGAAGGACGGTGTGATTTGATCTGGATTATGAAATAGGCTCTGCATGTGTATAGAAATGAAGGGGCAGGGAACGGAAATTATTTATTACGACAAATCCTCCATTTTGATAGTATGATTTTACAAAAAGGAAGGTTTGGATGGGGCTTCCTCGTGGTCCCATGGTTGATCAAATCTAGTAAAAGGAAAGCACCGAGAACAGACAAGAGCAACATCATGGCCTCCCAGAGAAAGCCATTCCCTCTCATAACCTGCCCTCTCGAAGCCTGTGACCTCTGCGAACGGAAGGTGAAGGGAAACAGGGTTTTGAGCAGGTTTTCCACCTTCAGGACACTTCAGACAGAGCTGCCCCTGGGAGCAGCTTCTACAATAACCATGGCCCACTAAGCAGCTCGGGGCCCACAGTCGGGGCCAACCTCGCACGAAGGCAGAAGAGGTGGCTGTCTATGCTGTACATTTCAGGGTCACCAAACAGGTCCTCACTCACCTTCCCAGGACCCAGCACAGTGTCTAACTCCACCATTCCTCAGTTTTTTCAAACTAAATTCCCAATTCACTGAATTAGCCCAATTAATTTATTAAGTAATACTGTCTGCTTCAGCAAAAGCATAAAGTTTGTCAATTAAAATCAGGTTTCAACCTCAACAAATAGTTTAGAGGTTGGTTGGACATAAAATCCAAGATAAAATATTTGGTGAAGAAGAAGATGAAGAAATAGGTCAGTAACATGAAACACAGCTTCAAAGGGAAGGTATGGGTTTGAAAAAGATGCAGAGAAGAGGCATAAGCCCATCTAGACAATCTTCACCTATTCTAGAATTCCATTCAGAAATAGTTGTGAGGAGGTTGTGTGTGGTCAGAAGCGATTGTGGGGACTAGAAGGGGACACTGTACTCAGCTCCGCTGAGGGCACCTGGAGATGCAAAGGCTGCTGATTCACAGCATGGCTGTGCTATCTGTGTGAAGATCCCTGACAAGCCTGAGAGGAAAACGCAATTCTGGATTCACTAAACTCTCAAATGAGGGTGGGCATTGCTGAGAATAGGGAAGAATAAATGAAAGTTGCTATTTTGACTTTAGTAGAATCATGTCACTAATTTTAAGACAGAGCTATCATAAGTTTAGATACTTACAAAAACACTTCACATTCCAAGAATATCTCTTATTTACCTACCAGGGACCATTTGAATTCCAAATTTATTTTCAACAACCATGTACAGAGTCTGAATTAATATTCCTCGCTTAACTTATCATTTGTGTCATCAAACAAGATGGCCGCCATCTACAGCAAAGTTTACCTCAGTGGAGTTATTGGAGTTTTGAGGTAGCTGAGTTCCAGAAAATCCATGGCTGCCACTTGAATCAAATATCTAATAGACAAGGGGGGAAAAAAGGCTAATGAAATGGCTCTGCAATGTTCAATTGGCAGCTACCCTTTATCAGTATTTAAAAATTTAAGTGCTATAACATTTTATAAGATCTTCATATCACAATTTGTACAATTTACTACTCTACCACTTTTAAAGTTTTAACTTTAAAGAAAAAGTTGTGCTTTTTTTCTTCCCATATGGTTACATATTTTACTTTTCTATATCATCATATATTATTCAAGTCATCCCGGATCTTTTTGATATTGCTTTTAACTGAGAAGTGCACATTTCTGAAGATGTGGAACAGAGCTCAAAGTTGAGTTGGCAAAGCCACCAAAATCAAGCTTATAACTATTTTTCAAATGTGCATAGAATAAATATCGGGAAGAAATATAGTTAAATATTAAAAGTGGTCGTGTTTAGGTAGAGGAACTAGGAATAATTTCATTTACTTTTTCCAATTTTTATCTTCTAGATTTTGTAGCATAATAGTAAACATTAAAGACCAGGCCATTTAAACATTTATGGACACCTACTACATCAACTTCATTCAGTTATATAAATACCAACATTATAATTAGTTTCATATCTTTTTAAAACAAAAATATTCAACCAAATGCTTTTGTTTCTCAAGAAATCTTACATTAAGAACATTTACCACATATGATGGGGTAAAGACCACATTAGGCTCATATCTAATTGGCTAAATGTCAACATTTAAGAAAAACAAGCAAGTTATCAAGTTGTTTATCACCATCATTTAACTATATAGAATTGATTGTCGCGATTAAAATCAGAATTTGCCTCAAAGCCGTTATTTAAACTTCATAGAAGTTCAATTCAAAAATATAAGCCCAGAATCAGCCAATGGTTTATAGTTGACTAAAATCTATAAATAAGAAATCCATTTCCATTTATAACCAACGAAAGATTACTTTTCACAATTCAAGTACAAGCAGAACTACAATTTTTTTTTTTTAAGATTTTATTTATTTTTATTTTTCCCCCCAAAGCCCCAGTAGATAGTTGTATGTCATAGCTGCACATCCTTCTAGTTGCTGTATGTGGGACGTGGCCTCAGCATGGCCGGAGAAGCGGTGCGTTGGTGCGATCCCGGGATCCAAACCCGGGCCGCCAGCAGCGGAGCGCGTGCACTTAACTGCTAAGCCACGGGGCCGGCCCCAGAACTACAATTTTAAAATCTGATATTCTTGGGGCCGGCCCGGTGGCGCAGAGGTTAAGTGCACGCGCTCCACTTCGGAGGCCTGGGGTTCACAGGTTCGGTTCCCGGGAGCGCACCGATGCACCGCTTGTCAAGCCATGCTGTGGCGGCGTCCCATATAAAGCAGAGGAAGACGGGCACGATGTTAGCCCAGGGCCAATCTTCCTCAGCAAAAAGAAGAGGACTGGCATCGGATGTTAGCTCAGGGCTAGTCTTCCCCACAAAAAAAAATAAATAAATACAAAAAATAAAATCTGATATTCTTTCTAATTGTATGTGAGTATACAAAAACAGTGGCCACAAAAATGAGCTTTCACGGGTTTCAATTAACCAACCCCACTCCCCCCCATTTCCACCTTTATTGTTCCAGGGTTATAAACAGGTCAAAGAACTTGATTTTATCCCTATTATTCACCTAATTCACAAAACTATTATACACAATCAAATAAATATCCATATGAAATAAGAAAACAAAATTCCTTAAAATGTGACCATTTCTTCCAGAGGATATTAAAACCATATTCAGAATGATAGCAACTTAGCAAAAGTAAAAACAAGAACTTCTTTGGATTTAATTGCAAACATTTTCCCTGTTCACTTAAATGATCAGATCATCATGTGATGACTTATCTTTTCAATAGCCTTTGAAAAAATAATAATCCTAAAACATATCATTCAGCCACATAAAAACTCATCATCATGTACCGTATTAACGGCATTAGGAAATACTTCAGATATGAGTATTCAAATGTTCTGAAAACAATTCACCGCATGTGGGTCACATTTCAACAATAAGTGCTCAGGCTATTTTTACTTGATAAAATGTTAAAAGAGCCACCCTTCCTCTAGGAAAATAAACAGCAGCAATAGCCCAGTGTTATAGGGCTTTGTATCCAGTAAATCAAGTCCCAGCCCTGCCCCTAGGGCGCTGGGTGAACAGGGGTCAGGAAGTGACTTAACTTCTCCAGGTCTCAGGCCCCTCATCTATAAAATGGGATGACAAATGCCTACTTTGTGTCATAAAGAGAAAAGTGTCTGGCACCATCAATAGAATTTAGTTGCTGTTACTCTATTATTAACTTTAGATGTGTATTTTAATATAAACTCTGTGGGAAAAATAAATACTATTTCTAAAGGCAATGAAAAGTGTGGATTCTTTTCTAACCATTCTTATTTTTGTGTTCCGGAGCGCTGCAGATATGAGCAAGGTATGAATACCTCTTTGGGAATGCTCAAAACAGATTGAGCAACTTGTGTGTTTTCATTGGGGAAAAGGTCCATGCTAAGACCGCATTCCTTTGAGCCAACTTTTATCTCATTCTTAATGGATGATGAACATCTAGGATTTGCTGAATGTCACGGATTTCCCGCTAGGCCTGCTGTCCCTCCCATGCTGAGGAACTCACTTGAGTTATAGAAGGTCTTTTCTCCTTCCCTTTTCTTGCCAGTGTGTCCAGCCCTTTTAATGAAGAAAATATGCCCTTCCTGTTTCTTCCTCGCTGGGTCAGTGAGAGTGTTCTTTTCCGGAGAGCAGAGTCATCTCTAGAACATACCTAAGTTAAAACACAGTTTAAAAAAAATCTTAAAGTGTATTATTTGGGTGATGGAGAGAATTAACCGTTGCCCCAACAGAAGTAAGCCCTGCTTGCTATAAATGTGTTCTGACCAGCACCAAATCTACTGCTTGTCTGACATACCAGAAATGCATCCACCATCCAGACATCTCTTATCTGGATAACACAAGCCTAGTTACAACATTCAGATCTCTCCAGGGTGGACAGCAGGGTCGGCCAAACAACCCACGGACCCCCCAGGCTGAGCTAGTAGTATCCACAGAAGCCACCCACACAGGAGCCATTTCAGAAAACCCAGGGGGGTCTCTGCAGTAGATAAAACACTCTTCAATCAGCCTTTAATTCTTCACACCATTGTTGCCACTCCTCGGGGGTTCCACCTCCCTGACTGTATGAGGCGGGACAGACAGAAAGACAGATGCAGATGCGAATATTTAATAACTGTCTACTGGCAGTTGGATTCCTAGACCAAGCAGCAGAGAAGCCAGGATTCTATAGCAAGTTGCCTCCAACCCTCCATCCCCCAGTGCCCAGCCCCTGGGTGGCCCTGGTCAATTATCGGGTTAAGTCCCAGCAGAGCTGATGGCAACAAGCTGGGAAAAGGTGAGCATCCGCAGTCCTCCCTGAGCACTGCTGAAACAGCCTTCCTTGGGAACTTACCAGAGCGTGGAAAGAGGAAACTGACAAGACGCCCAACCTGCCGAGGGCCAGCTTGGAGGGGCGGCTGGCGGCAGCAAGAAGGCTCTTGGGGTTTGGCAACTCTCCGCCTTGTAGGCTGGCCAGATAGCAGCGCATCCTGAAGAGATCCATGTGAAATTTCTCCAGGTTCTGCTCCCATTGCTGGATCTGGTTAAGCAAGAACAGAGGTAATTTAAATGAAAATGAGAATTTTCCTGGGTCACATTGAAAATACGATCCCTTTCACACACTTCAAAGGAAAACTCCTTTCATCTGGTGTTGCATGGTTGAAATTAGCCTTCTCTGCTCCCCCCATCTCAATCCCTCCTGCCCAAACATATGGGGTCAGACGGCGCTGTGCTTCATCAGGACGATCAGAAACGGAACACGCCGGTGGTCCCAACACAGTGCCACGCGAAGCAGCATGACCTCAGGAGAACTCCAGCCCTCCAAATCAAGCTGATTTAAGGCAGGATGCACAATTGTAAGTGAGTTATTTCACTTGGTTACATTTCCTTCACATTCACAGCCTCTGATCCTCAGCCAGATTAACTGAATTGCACACAGATGCTGGAGAAATGGAAGCAGTGACTTGAACATTTCTGTACATTCTGAGCAAATGACTCAAAATAATGAGAAGCAAATGGACTTCAGGGATGACAACAAATAGAGCTTTTACTCCTGTTTTAAGTATATTAGACAATAACCACCAAGTCTACATCTGAATAAAATTAAAGCATATGTAATTATTTACACAACAGAAATTCCTATGCACATCTTCAAATCTCATGAGTCGGTAAAGAAATACAGTCTAACTCTGGGGGCCACTCTCCTTTCTTCCAAGGACGTCAAAACACGTTATGTATAAGTATTATCTTCATTTAAAGATAAACTAATAAGCGAAGAATGCCTCTGGTAACTTGCCAACACAAGGATTCAGGAGCAGAACAGAAAGCTGGGCTTCAAACGGCGTTGAGAGCAATCTCAAAATTCAAGAAAAGGTCTGTAGCAAAGGTTCGTGATAAAGATTCAGCACAATCTGTGTGCCATTTCCTTTGCAAGAACTGCATCTCTAGTTTTGCCATGTTTACCCAAGCAGATCTAACCTTTCACAGCTTTCCAGGTCAAATCTTGATCCTGGATAAATAATATTCTGAAGGATCTCCAACATTTAATACTATGCACCCTTCAGTCTCTCCCCAGAGGAAAGCAGTACAAATTCTGGCTATTCTCCAGACCCCTTCCAAGTTCTCTGTATCTGTTTCTTAGGAAGGTCACTGTACACCCTTATTAGTGATATAATAGCCTACTGGTATCAGCCTTGAATGAATATCAGAATGATCTGTTGGCTTTTTTTTTTTTTTTTTTTTGAGGAAGATTCACCCTGAGCTAACATCTGTTGCCAATTTTCCTCTATTTTGTATGTGGGTCGCTGCCACAACATGCCTTGACAAGTGGTATAGGTCCACGTCCAGGATCCAAACCCGTGCATCTGGGCTCCCAAAGCAGAGCATGCCAGACTTAAGCAGGACACCACAGGGCTGGTCCCCAGATCTGTTGGCTCTTAAAAATGAAGATGCCTAGGTGCATAGCCTCAGTGAGAACCACTGTTCTAGACTAACTAGACAGTTCAAATTGAAACTGCAAATCTCCTCTTGGTCTTGCCATATTCGAGAATTCTCAATTCCACAAGTAATGGATGGGTGTTATGTAATCATAAACTGAAACCTACCAAATTTATGAGATACTTTCTAGGGTTTCTGCTTGGAATGGAGGCATGAGAGGGAAGAAAACCAGTGAGTCATTGGATACCAGAAGATGAAGAAGCTCACGCCATCCACAGTGTATTACAAAAACAAAAAATAAAATAAAATGGTCTATGCCAATCACCGTCAATCAGGGAAGATGACAATCTCTTATATTTTGACTAATTCTGCAGTTTACAAAATATTTTTAAAGACATCATTCAATGTATTTATGTGCCTACATAGCAAAGCGCCACTAGAAGGTAAAAACAGTGCCATCCTAAACGACACATAGGGAATCTTAAAATTTTGTCAGAAACACTTTGATAATCTTCAACATGCCTAGACCTCTCCACCCAAAACTTCGAACAAAACGCAGGTGATTTCATAGGAAGAACACAGACTCAGAGGCTTAGGTTTGTTGGAAGGAAGAAGGGGCTGGGAGACCCCAATAGCCCAAAGCAGATCTCACCGAGATCAAGAAGTTGGCTAATATATGTGATTACGTTTCAAAAGAACTAGTATCTCAATCAGTGTTGTACATTGTAGAGGTAATTCTCAAATTTAATTTAGTAGAAAATGCAAATGACAAGGGACTCCATGACTTCTCTGTTTCAACAATGCTCTTATCCTTATCCTGGCTGAGACTTTGTGATGGTTAATTCTATGTGCCAACTTGACTGGGCCCTGGGGCACCCAGATATGTGGTCAAACATTATTCTGGGTGTTTCTATAAGGGTGTTTTGGGATAGGATTAATATTTAAATGGGCAGACTGAAGTAAAGCAGATTGCCCTCCCTATGTGGGTGGGCCTCATCCAATCAGTTGAAGGCCTGAACAGAACAAAAAGGGTGACCCCCCCCCCCGGAGTAAGGCAGAATTCCTCTTGCCTGATCTCCTTCAAACTGGAATATGGGCTTTTTTTTTCCTGCCTTTGGACTTGACCTGAAATATTGGCTCATCCTAGGTCTTGAGCCTGCCAATCTTCAAATGGGAACCACACCATCCACTCTCCTGGGTCTCCAGCTTGCTGACTCACTCTGCAGATCTTGGGACTTGCCCACCTCCATAATCACATGAGCCAATTCCTTATAATAAATCTCTTTACATATATTTTTTCATACTTCCTATTGGTTCTGTTTCTCTGGACAACCCTGACTAACACAGCTTTTATCCCCATAAATCTCTGTGGCAGAGTAAGCCGTCATTAGTCACACACCTATTCCATATTTAAAGACAATATTTATCTTGTTTTTAAGGTCGTGGTTCTTTATAGACAGGATCAGTCATAGAGGTTAAATGAGGATTTGTGGTTGGATAAGAAACAATGAAATATTTGATTTTTCTTTCCACAGACTCACCAAAGCTGTAGACAAGGACTCGGGAGAATACGCAGGTCAGGGTATGGTGAGGACATGGATTCAGATGCTTGGGTTAAATGGAAGGAAGAGGGGAGTAGAAAGGCCGGATTCACAAGCTCAAAACAGACCTTGCAATATTGAGAAAGTCTGTCAATACACGCAATGAACTTGCAAGGGAATTAGGATTATCACACCTTCATTTCTCAGCAGAGGAGGCTGAGGCCCAGAAGGGAAGCGACTTGACCAGGTCACATAGTAAGCCAGCCCTTCCAGACCAGCAAAGGCCCAAAGCTGACCCTGATGTGAACAATATGTGGGGCACAAGCTTCTCTCAAGTGCTTATAATGTAGCCCCTGAATCCCAGGTCTTCTCACTCATAAAGCAGATACCTGTGCACTATTCAAGAATCACTCAGCAACTTTCATTTAAATGTTCATCTAACTGTCGACTTTATTTCTCCCCCCAAATCCCCAAGAGTTCTACATAGAAGGATGCAAGACAATCTACACTCTCATCTGGGTGCCCTATTCATATTGAATATTTTGTATTTCAGTTTCCTATCAGCCTTAACGTGCAAGTTCAGCCCAAATTTAATGTTATATTAAATAAAAAGAAAAACGAATTTTATAATTATCCCTCAAAAGATGAGATCAAGGAGGAGATGAAGATACATTTTTAAAAAACATAAAGGGAGACAATTTTGTAGCGATTACATACACTACCTCAGTAAATTTCAATCATCATCATCATTATCACTAAAATAATATTATCTGACATCACATTTAACAGGAAATTTCTGGAGATTTTTTCTAACATTATCAAAAACTAAAATGCTCAAAATCAATTCCCTTAAACCAATACCATTTTTCCCCTTTCTTATAAATTTCTTAAATACTTCTTAAATCATTGTCCCCAGACATTTCTTTACTTTTTATGATAAATATCAGGACACGAAAATAAAAACTCAATTTCTGTGTAGACTGAATTTTCCTTTCTTTTAACGTCCGTGCACAAAGCATAAAAATGACGTGGATGAAAAAAACTCACTCTAAGTAGGTTTTCATTATCTTTCATTGTAAAAGGAAAAATTATTAACAATAAAATTAAGGAGGAAAATTCCCATTTTTAAGCACTGACACAAATGCAATGCAAAAGTTCCCTCTTTATTGCTAATATAGCTATATTCATTTAATGAGCTCAGAAAGGTTATGGTCCGCTTTGGAGAAGTGGGAGGAGGACGAGATGAAACCTAATGCTAAAAATAACGGATGAATGAGTGATACATTAAAAAGATGACAAGTACATTCCTGCCACACCCAACGCTCCTAGAAAAATATTTTCTATCATTTAGTCATTTAATCACAGTACTTGGTTACTTGTCCATTACTAGGTTGGTCCTAAAAGATAATTAGCTTTTCCTTTTTGGTAGAATAAGTTGAAAACTCCCATGCAATATTTTCCAAGCACTAAAACCTGCCTTCTCAGAAAAACCCATCTAGTAAAACAGATTACACTGAAGTTAACCAGTAGTTAGAAAAACCAGCTAAGGTTTAGAGAATCAGTTCTGTTTTCTTTTTTTCCTTTGAGATATAATTCACTTGCCAAAAAATTCATTCCATTTTATAATAAGTACACTTCCCATTAAATCGAGCTGAAAAATCCAAGTTATGAAAACAAGTAAATTAAGGATTAATTTCTATTTTGTACGAAACTATTCATTACGTGGTTAATTAGCAAATGAAGCACAATCTGATTCACAGAAGTCTTACTGAGATGCAGAAGAGGAGGGCAGACTAGCGTTCAAATCCCAGCTCTGCCACTTCCCAGCTGTGTGACCTTACAGATTTACTTAACCTCTCTTGGGTCTGTTCACTCAACCATCAAATGCGTGGCACATACAACTTTACCTCCTGGAGCTACTGTGAAATCATATATGATCATGGCCTGAGATAGGAGCCCTGATAAATAAACTAGGGGCCCTTGAGAATGGGGAGAGAGGATAGTTAGCTGGGGAATGAAGAAGGGAAAACTGGGGGAAAGAAGCCCGAGGAGCTGGGAAAGAGCTGGTGAGGAGCTGGGCTGGGGACTGACACAGAGAGGAACACAGTGTGCCCAGTAAAGAGGAAAGATACTTGGGTGCATTCACTCACTAACTCGAGCAAAGCACCAGGGATACAGAGATGGAAAAGTGATGGATTCCTTAGGAGCTCTTCATACTAGGAGCAACCTTATACACAAGGAGATAACTATAAAACAATGAGGGCAGTAATAAAGAGAGACCCTGAGAATTACAGGAGTATAGCAGGGGTCCCTGATGGACGAGTGGAAGGGAGTCAAGGGAATCTCCTTGGAGAAGGAACCCCTAAACCCTTCATCACAGATGAGGAGGGGTGAGCCTGATAACAGGGGTGATGTGGGGGGTGGGTGGTGTATGGCCTAGGTGGGTCCATTCCGCCTGAGGAAAAAACCCAACAAAAGCAGTGGAATCTACAGGAAGTTCTGGCTAGATAAAAGGGAAGGTGGGGAGAGGTTATCAGGACTTTATCTTGTAAGCAGTGGGGAGCCACTAAAGGATTTTAAACCTGGCAATCCCGTGATCAGATTTGCTTTTTAGATACAAACCACTCCGGCCTTGTACGGCAGATGCATCTGAGGAAAGGCAAAACTAGCAGCTTCTGCAGGCGTACAGGGAAGAGAAGACAGTCCCACTGACCCCTCCATCTCTCCCCACCTGCCCATCGTGTGCCTGAAAAATCAAACTGCCAGGGTGCAGTGCATCGTTGCAGAGCGTTCTGCTGTTGCTCACGCCTTTCTCCATCCCTCTCCTGATTAATTCCTCCTCATTTTTCAAGATGCAATTCAGGTATCCCTCCTCCAGGAAGTCTTCCATGACTACACAGGAGGCTAAACTTCCTGCTAGTCTTCCACAACCCTCTAGAGCATCATTTGCTCTGAATTTATTATATTGAAATTATATGCTTAACTGTCTGTCACCTGCTAGACTGAGCACAGTCAGGGCAAAGACAGCATCGTCTTTGAATCCCCATCTGTGCACACTTGCCTGGCCCAGAGTATTCACTTAGTAAATGCCTACTGAACTCAAGTGAGTGTTGATCTCCCGCCCCAAACACATCCACTCTCTCCCCCTGGCCTGCTAAATGAAGCCCAGGTCTTGGCCCAGAGCCTCCATAATCTGGCCTTGTCTCCCTCAAACCCCCTTCACAAATACTCTACTCTCCAATGCTTTATTCCCCAAATTGTTCCCGCCCACACACCCCATACCATATTTTCCTCAAGGCTTTGTTCCTTTTGTCCCTTCACCACCGTTTCCAATTGTCTAAATTCCATCCATCCTCTTTACGATTTTAAAACGTTAAGTAAATATTTAAAATGAAACCCAGAGCAGCCCCAAGCCCACCCGCCAAGCGTTGGCTCCTCCCACTGTATCATCTCCCCAGTCCTCACCACCTCCTCCCTCTCTGGTCTAATTAACCACGGGAAGTGAGAAACACACAAATGCACAGAGTGAGTCAGGATGGGGGGAAAGCCATCCTGGAGGAGGCTAAGACCGCCTCAGGGTGGTGAGGTTTTGTCCCCGTTTACTTGTTTAAAACAATAAACGGAAAGGCAAATAAAGCACTAACTGGACTTAATTTACAGCTCTTCCTCCCTCAGAACTTCAAAAGGAGTCCAGTATGTGGACTGGCTGCAGGGTCTGCTCCACAATGGATATGCCCTAATGAAAGCCGCGTCATCCTGCCCCACAGAATCCCCGAAAGGCCCTAGGACAAGAGCAGATGATGGTCTTTCTTAAGCAAAGCATGTCAACAGACCACAGTATGAAGTTCAGCCGTCATTATTGTGAGTGTCTTTTTATATGGCAAAGGCATTGACAACAACCTTCTCCACCCAAGTACTTCAAAGAAAACCTGTTCCAGAGACTTCCTCTTGCATGATGTAATGTACACTGTTAAGTTCAGCTATTATTGGGTATAAATGACTATATCTGAGATTCTCGGGGTCTCTGGGAGAAAGCATTACATAAATATAATAAATATTTTCTTTTATGTAAAATAAAATATAGTAAAGCTGAGATTTTTAAATGGTAAGTGGACAAAGCACTGCTCTTTTAAAGAACTTTTTAAAAGGTAGTTTCGAGAAAACCACTCTACACTTACAGGCTGTTTGGACGATGGTGTTCTTATTGGTCGTGATTTGTAAATACCTCTGCCTTTGCAGCTTCACGTAACATTCTCTAGACAAAGGCCATGTCATAAAAGTAATTCTAAGCATGTGGCTGTTTCCCTCCTTAACGGTTCACACACTTTGTGTCTGCAAGTAAAGAGCAAATAGCTCTCTTTACGACCATCTGGCAAATGCATTAAGGATGGTGGGCACAGCAAATGCAATTCACGTTACCCACTGCAAAGCCCTCTGAGAAAACACGACTAAATAACACGGTGAGGAGAATATTTTCAGGTGGAATTTCTAAAGGTCAATCCAAATTGTTTCTTACCAGAAATTCACAAACGTAATATGAGAAGGTGAGTATGTGCTTGGAAGGAGGGGAAGGGGGAGTTGGGGGATAGAGTGAGGGTGATGTAATGATTCTGTCAAAGAATGCATAATGGCAGCCAGCTCTGGTGCCTAGTGGTCAAGTTCAGCGCACTCCACTTCAGCCCGCCGGGTTCAGTTCCTGGGCACTGACCTTCACCACCCATCTGTCGGTGGCCACGCTGTGGCGGCGACCCACATACAAAATAGAGGAAGACTGGCAGTGGATGTTAGCTCAGGGGGACTCTTCCTCAGCAAAAAAAAAAAAAAAAGAAAGCATAATGGGCCACAAGTAATAAATTACCCTAATTCTTTAAAAGAGCTTCTCTTCAGGCCACCTGACCATCCTAGACCCTTGGATTTGTGTAGGGGTTTATGTGAAAGTAATCGCCCCCTCCCAAGCAGAGAATAGCACCAATTGTGACGTCATAAATAAAGCATTTACCAACTATGCACAAGGAAATAAAATTACATTTAATGAAAATTTAAAGAAACAAATGTTTGCTTGTACTTCTCGTGGCCATAAGGAGGGAAAGGGGAGGCAAAAAAAGATGGGTTAGGAGCTTCTTGATGTCACCAAATTTCCCTTTTCTCTGCCTGGACCTAAACATTTGACAATACATAAGGACCTGAAAACTCCAAGTTGGGTATCCTTTCCAGGGGATTAAAGTATGGCTGCAAAATTAAATTTTAGAAAGCCAGTAAAAGTTAAAACCGTACTTTTTCCCACTACAATCAGAATGAGAATTTTGATTGGGGCGCCCTGAACACTGTAAGACACTTGAATCCACAAGTTGCACCTCGGATGATAAACAGATCATTGTGGCTACTGGATCCTGGAAATTCAGGACCACAAGTGAGACGCGGTACAGAGAAAACACTGAGGTAACCAGTTCTCCTCCTCAAGCTTTTGATTTGTCATGTAACCTTGACAAACCATCACATCCCGACAGACAGAGAGCTGAGAGACCAGGACCTGCTGTGAGTAGGGTGCAGATGGTAGAGACAGCGTGAGCTGAGCTGGCCGCACTTCTCCCAGCGGCTGTGTTCTTGTCAAACGCCAAACGCCCTTCCACCCTCCCTACATTCTCCTTGGCAGTTTCTTCTTCCTTTTCAGTCCCTTGTTAAAACTGTTTTGTAGTTTGTCATTTGCTGGCAGATACTCTTTAAATAAATGGTATATTCTGCTTGAGGGACAGCTCAAGTCAGAAGTGTAGAATACTATCTTTAAGATTCCATAGAATTATAGAAAATTATGCACTCTGATATACATTTTCCATATAAATTGTTAAACTCCTGTTGTGTCACTCTGGACCAGGCCCTTGTAACTGCACATCCAGACCAGCATCATTCCACTGCCCAATACCTTCCCCCACTTCAATCTGTTCTCCAAGCCACTGCCCAATTAGTGTTCCAAAGATACTACTTTTATCATGCATTTATGAAGAGAAGGATGCTAGAAATTTCACTGATATTTGTCTAAGTGTTTAGGTTGTCTAAGCAAAGGAAAATAAATATTAAAACAGCTGCTTCTCTTCTAAAATGCAAATAGCATAGAAACTCGCTGTTTAATTATTATATGAATTTGGAACCATACCAGAGAGAGAATTTTCCTTAGCACTTTATCTGTTATAAACAGAAAAAATACTGGGTTTTAGAATTCACAGACATGGGAATAGCTGTGTGATACCAAAGCACTCTTTCCAAACCCATCCTTTGCATTAGAATCTTACCTGTCCAATCTTCTAGTGGTTTTATTACATAGATTTTGTTCTGAAAGTGCCAATATATGAGAGACTCAGCTAGGCAAGAAGAAACTACTCACTATCAGGAAAAAAGATCTGGTCACAAAATGTTCATATATATCTATACATCTATACCTATCTATTTATCGATCTATCAATCTATCTATCCAGCCATCAAAGGTTGTAAAGCAGACCACATGACCAATGTCACAAAAGTGCAGCCATCAAGTACTTGAAATGAGAAGCCACAGGAATTATTTCCCCAGAGGCATAAGAAACATCACTACCACCTGACTGCGTTCAAACTGAGATTTTTGCTGTGAATGACATGAACAATGGAAGAAAATACTCATGTAAACCAATAGTACCTGGTTTTCTATGGCCTTCCTGTTCTTTGGGTCGCTCACCACGGACAGCTGTAATTCTGCCATCTTCTTCATCTTGCTGTCCATGTCTATCTTCTGAACGAGGTTCCTGGTCTGGTTCTTCAGTAGCCGAACGGTATCCTCTTTCCCACGCTTCTTCGCGAAAAGGGATGCGCAAGCCGAATGTATGGCAGTGACCCAATTTTCCAGATCTGTCTGACTAGTGGCCTAAACACAGTGGGGGAGAAAAAACCTATTTGGAATTGTTTTACCACAAAAGTGATCTCCACAGTGGCAGGCTGGGCTTCGAAGTGTAAAACCCAAGAAGTACCTTCACTTTATAACTATTTAATTTCGAAAACACACACGACCACTGGGCTCAGGTTCTGAGCTTCCTTAACTCCAGAGGGTCTGCGAGAACGTGGAGAGCAGAGCAGAAGTAATCACGTAGCCCCACATACGATGGGGAGACCAACCAGAGTCATGCTGCAAGCTAACAAGGGAGTAATAAGAAAACCAGGGTATTTCCACTCAGGGTTACATTATGCCACTCTCTATAAAGTGACTTATCTTCATAATTTTAATAGAATGAGAAAATACTAGAGCTAAAATGTTAAATTTTGAAAACTGGGTCTGAAATTTCATCTGTGGTATAGACACAATCATGAAAAATATCAATAGAAGAATATTGGGGGGGAATTGCACAATATTAAAATAGCTGTCTTTGAATATCGGGAATACGGATAGTGATTTTTCTTTTTCTACTCTTCAGTACATTTTAACACAATGACCATACACTATTTTCATTTTATTTATTTATTTATTTTTTCCCCCGAAGCCCCAGTAGATAGCTGTATGTCATAGCTGCACATCCTTCTAGTTGCTGTATGTGGGATGCGGCCTCAGCATGGCCGGAGAAGCGGTGCATCGGTGCGCGCCCAGGATCCGAACCCGGGCCGCCAGCAGTGGAGCGCGCGCACTTAACCGCCAAGCCACGGGGCCGGCCCACCATACACTATTTTCACATAAGAAAAATATTTTGGGGGCTGGCCCAGTGGCATACTAGTTAAGTTCACGTGCTCCACTTTGGCGGCCCAGGGTTTGCGGGTTCAGATCCTGGGTGCAGACCTACACACCTCTCGTTAAGTCATGCTGTGGCGACGTCCCACATACAAAATAGAGGAGGACTGGGAAAGATGTTACCTCAGGGACAATCTTCCTCAAGAAAAAATTTTTTATTTTAAATAAATAAAGTTTGAATAAAGCAGAATGAGCAAAGATGTATGATTCTAAGGAGGCCGAAAAGCACCTTCAGTTCCCTAATGTCCAGAAATAACCACGCACATTCAAACCACAGGGTTGATCCTCCAATAACCTCTGGGATTATACAACAGGACCTCCTGGGAAAATTTCTTAAAACTAAGGATATTTTGCCTGACTCACAAAATAAAATATTCATTTCACACTTGCCCCTAAGAAGTCCATGCAGATTAAATCCAATGTATTTACCCGCCCTATAATTCGGATTAACATCAATTCATTACTTTGCTTTAAAGCATCATAGAAGGTTTAAGCAACTTTTCTGTTAAGAGAAGGAAAATCAAATCTGAGGCCCTGACTCTTATAAGTCAGTTTGGGGACAGCTGTAAGGCTAGAGGCCCATGAGTTTACCTGGTACTGGTGCCGGGAAATCCTGCTGCAGGGAACACTTCAGAGAATTCTAGATTCCCAAAGTCAGCAAGAGAACGCTATGTTGTTTTGCAGAGCTCCTGGGCCATCCAGGACCAACTTTATCAGAGACTTGAACCCAGGACCCATGAGGTTTTCCATGAACCTTCCAGTTGGATATAATCTACAGCTCATATTGCGTCTACATGCAGTACTGGGTTTGGACTGGGAGGCATTTCAGAAGGACACTTCACTTCCTGGCAATCGCCCCCACTTGTTTTGAGTTAATTAATAATAACAACAATAATAGTTGGCATTTCTTTAGCACCTGACACACGCACATTATATTATTTACTCTTAAAGCAATCCTAGAAGCTATTACTATCCTGCTGGTCCAAGGGTCCAAAGCTCAGAGAAGTTCCGAAGGGCTCACTCAACAACAGCGCCAGGATTCACATCTAAGCCTGACCCCAATACCGGTGGCTCAACACCAACATGCTCTGTGACTTCTCATTTGCCAGAAAGTTGCTAAGAATCGCTAACAGTAGATAACCCGAATCTTAACGCCCTAAGACCACTTCCACAGGGAAATGAGACCTTCTAGCATTTCTCAATGAGAGTTTCCCTAAAAAGCTTCTTTTTTCACTTCCACTGGGATTCTTGGGAAGAACCTAAACCCCTCCTGTCCACATTCTCTGGTCTTCATTAAACAAGCTTCACTCCAGGAATTTCAGACCTTGCACTCACTAGATCACGAGCTGCTCCAGAACAAGGATCATGACTTTTCTCTCTTCGTATCCTGAAGAGCATCCTGTGGGCCACAGCCTGGCCCCTCATGGGCAACCGAGAAATGCGTGCTGTATGAACAACTGGATGTGCACTGGCCCCTCAGCACCTGGCCGTCAGCAGAGGCCAACTCTCTTGCTTATGGCCCAACTCAAAGCCTAAGCTTTTATTCTATTTCATTGCTAAGTTGTGCCTCTTAATTCTGTTCTTTCTCTTCCTAATAGGATGCAAGCCATCGCCTCAATCCATTTGGAAAGCTCGGGAGTACCTGGAAAAGGTAGACGTCTCCAAAGGAGTTGCTGAGACAGAACACGTTTTCCTTCTTGGGATGTTCTGGGACAGATTGTACGATGCTGTCTTCTGCAAACAGGGCACACCGAGGGGCGCTACTCTGGTCCGTGGAATTCTTCCCATAGGTCTCATAAAACAGCAGTGTGCATCCTGAGAAGAGAGAAGCAAAATAAGGTCCCTGACACACATCCTGAGGATCTAGGAAAGGAATGAGAAGGTAAAGAATATATCTAAAAAAAAAAAAGAATGAGACAACTATTTAATACAAAAGGAAATTCTGGTATCTCACCGTGATGGGAAATATTACTATAATCTTACTAATGCAGATTAAGAGAGAAAAATGAAACTAAATATCCCTGAATTCTAAAATATTATTCTAAAAATGCTGCTACATATGTTTGTAAGGACATAGCTTCCTCTAATAAGCTAATAAAGTATTGTAGGTAGAAGCTATTAAGGGTCTGCTTTGATAATTAGATTGGAATGCCTTATAATTATTAGACACAACTTTTAAGCAAATTCTAAAATGCTCACGAATACATTCTCTTGTTGAACATCTCTTAAAACCTTCATCCAATAAACATTTTTGAGCACTTCTCACGTGGTGAGCTCTAGCATACAAATACGAATGCTGCGGTCACCATCCCCGTGCTTTGCAAAAACCTTTTACACGAACAGGAAAGAAGCATAAGCCTGCTTTCGCCTGCATTGTAGAGGAATGAGGTCCACTTCCCGACTGTTTTACCCACTGTGTTATGAGTCTCCTTCACAGACTTAAGACATTTAAGACTTAAACGTCTTAAAAACTATTGCACTCTGGCCAGTTTCATTTCTTCCTTTAAAAACAAATCTTAATATGCACAAACAAACTTATATAATGGAACTCAGTGCAGCACAGAAGCCAGGAGGAAAACATGCCCCAGCGCAGCCCTCAGAAACAGCACCATTAGGACAGTACTTTCTCCTTCCATGGTACTTGATGATCTTACGAAACACGGAGCTCTCTCTCCTCCTGCAAACAAAGCTCATCCAAAGGCTGAGAGAGGCTCTTAGAACAAGGAAAAGTAGCAACAGGTTTATGGCCAGGCGAGCTGCTTCTGCAGGGCTGAGCCAGTCTCTTTTTCCAGTAACAAATGCACTTAAAAACAATGCCCCCATCTTTCCATCGAGAAAAGCCTGACACTACCGCTGCGTATGCAACATGTCATGATCTGGGGACCCGAGGACCAGGGTAAAGGTGACAAAGCAACACCAGCTCCGCCCAAATTCAAATTCTTTCCAAAGGGTTAATGTTGACTTGCCAGGCTCCCTACCATTGTGCTCCCAGCGGCCGTGGTTTGAATTATTCCATCTACAGGAAATGAACACAACCTTGGGCAGATGCCAAAATGTTGCCAAACCTAACACCCCATCTACGACAGACTACAGCTCTACCGGGAAGCGTGAAACCAAAACAGGACATTTCATTTTAGAGCCAGGCCAGGATGTAAAACAATATGCAGAATTCTATTGCTATCAAATTCAAAGAACAGGAAAGTGATCGTAAACCTATTACATTAAGGTTAACTTCATCTGTGTCTCTCATGCTGGGGCGCAGAGTCTGATGGAAAGGGGCTGCCTCGTGTCAGTGAAGTCTCCTGTCCCCCATCCCAGTGTTGTGGCCGTCAGCCCTGTCCAGTCCCCACTAGGAGCTAGTGTTGGCCTGGAGGGTTGACAGTGGAAGTTCTTGCCACAGGAGCAGAGAGAGAAAACAGATTGGAACAGCAGAGGAAGCACAAGAATAGAGGAGGTACTACTAATAGAAATATCACCAGGGGAAGGAGAGCAATTAGTCCTGTTCTTCCCTTAAATCCACCTTTTCGCTGACACCCTCTTGACTCACACTCTTTACTCCATTCCCTGTCTCAGGCCTTTCGCAAGGCAGACTCCGCAGCATCCTAAAATCACTTTCTGAACCCCTCTCCCGACATCGGTCATCTGTTGTGCATTCTGAAGGATGTCTTGAATGACCTTGCCAACTATTCTGCCCAGGAAGCCCCCTGTGAACCTCCTGAAAATCCACTCATTGGAAAAGACAGATGGAAAGCAGAATTACCCTTGTTAAAAATTTATTACATCCTCCCAGCCCTAAAAAATATTTGTGCCCTTAGCATACCTATCCATTCGATGTAGGCATGTACCAGATGGTTTGCTAATAGCCGCTCCCTCCAGAACACTGTTTCCAATTTATTTACATAGATACTTCAAGGATAATTTAAAAATTCTGCTTAAATGTATATGTGTGAATATATACACATATATGTTTTTAACTAAGATTAAACCCAATAGTTATGTCCAAACATTACAATTCAGATTCTTAGCCAAGAAAGCTGAACTCAATACATTGAATTCCCAGAGGAAAGACGTGTAGAACACCACATGGAAAAGGTTATGCTGGGAAAAAACATCTTTATCACATGCTTTTTCTTGGCTGCAAAGGAAATGAAGGAATGTGTGCTTGATAACATTTACACTTACAAAGCACCCTTTCTCCATGGGTCTTGAAGTGTTTCACAAGCAAGCACTGAGACAGCAGGACACAGGCAGGACTAGATCTTGCAATTGTTAAAGACAACTCAGGACCATCCCTGCCCCTAAAGTCCGTGGCCAGAAGCTCCCGGTGTGGCTTCCAGGATGGAATACAGAAAGCTGGAGATGCCCTTTTCCCACCTTAAGAGGTACTTGCTAAATCTCCCCCAGGAAGCCTCCAATGATCTGGCTCCGCACAAATGTCTTCAGTGGCAGGGAACTCAGGAAGGTAGTGTCTTTCCACTTGCCCATGGCTCTAGCCGCTGTTGTTTTTTACATTAATTCAGAATCAGCTTGTCTTCCATCTACTAGTCCCATCCTAACCTCCAGAGAACCAGAATAAATTCAGTGTCTCTTCTATAAGACCGTTGCTCACTCTCATCCCAGTTCTTATTTTTTCTAGGCTAAACATTCCTAGATCCTACGCCATCCTCCATATGAATGGCTCTAAATCCCTTTGGTGTCACCGATGGCCCTGCGATCCAAGCAGGATATGGACACACAAACACACATATACGCACCATCACCAGCTCCCCACCACCACCATGGGTGTACGCTGGGGGTTTTCAACGCCATAAGACAGGCAGAGAACAACTTCCCAAAGCATCAATGTCAACAAACAAATTTTAGGTTAAAAAAAATAGATACACGCCACATTATGGAGTAGAGCGCATCCATTCTAAATATTATGCAAGAAGGTAGCTTCAGACTGTGATTCATGAACAATTCCAGATGCTCATTCCTCTGAGGGGACATTTTCACTCTCCCCTCCAGTTAGAGATACTTCAGGCAGAATCTTTTTGAGAATCATTTTCTTGTTTATGAACAAGTCTCCTGAAATCTCATGCCTCCAAGGAGAGAGGGCCAATGTGACCAGGGCAGAGGAAGGAGAGTCCAACATAGCTGCAGATCACATGACATCTCTAATGATGTAGCCAAAGATCCCATTCACTTTTTAAATCATATTTATTTTTATTTTAGCCTCATCACATTGGAAACGCATTCTGAAGGGCCTGCAAATCAAACCCCCAAATCTTCTTTACTTGCAATACTCGGTAGCCACATCACCCTATCCTGCACTTGGGTAGTTATTTGATTAAACCTTAAAGCATAACTTATCTCTTGAAAATTTTATCTTGCTAGATTCAACCCATTATTTCAACTTGCCAAATCTCTTCCACCATTCAGTGTAAGAACCTGCCTCTACAGTATGTCAAAACTAGGTAAGACCTTTGCCTTCCTCAGCCACAAGGTACCATAAGGATCCAAATCCAGAGTTGGAAAGGAAGATTACCATATGTGTCGGATGCTGGATAGGTTTTATAAATCCTCCAGTTTGCTAAGGAAAGATGTTACTTAAAGGTGAAAGGCCTTCGCAGGTGCACCTGCCCCAGAGGGGCTTATGGGTAATTATGAAATGACACCAGCTCACCAAGGCTAGTGGAGGGGGGAACGGGAGGGGCTCACAATTTCTCAATAGGGTGCAAAAAAAAAGCTAGAACGGAGGCAGAGCGGAGGGCTCAGGGCCTTTCACACATACTGTCTACAGACGTGACTCCCATTTCTGTTTTCTCCCGTGATAAGGAAGGGTGTCGCCCGATAATGAGGTTTGACTTTGAACATGACACTCAATTCCTCTGACAAAGAGTCACAGGACAGCTGTGCAAAAATGCCAGAGGCTGTGAGGCTGCTTTTCCTGTTTCCATCTGTACAAATCATCTTTACATCTGTATAAATCCACACTGTTTTGACTTAGAACCTCGCTCTTCCTCACGGGACATTTAGATCGCTTCAAATGTATACATCCACAGCGAACAATAATTTTTAAGTGGTGATGCTTGTGAGAAACTTTTATCATCCTAACAAAACAAATCCTTACTCCTCTTTCCTTTACGTTCAAAAAAGAAAAGTATTTGTTTGTGATGGTAACAATTAGACCTTCTCAGTTCCTAAAGGTGGGATGACACAAATGAAATAACCCAGATGAAATTCTTTGTTGCACAAGCTGGGAAGGATACCTCTTTGGAGTTCTGAACGCGTGCAGAATATGAAATTCAGGATCTACATTCCAAATAACTGAACTACATTTGGTTACTTATTTGGTTTTTTTTAGTATTAAAGAATGGTGCAGAAATACCTATAAAATAAGTAATGACTATTAAAGTCAATCACTATTTACCAAAGAATGAATACTATATATGAATATTATGTAAGCCATATTACATAGGTTTGAGAAAGTATTTGTAATAAGGTATGCCAGAAGATGCTGCATCAAATCCCTTCACATTAATTCAAATTAGCACTGGACTCGCTGGCGTTTCCTAGGAAAGAGGACAGCTGCAGAAATGACTCCCAGTGGCCCTCCAGGCGTCAACAGTGCTCCTACCTTTAAGTGTCACCCAGTACTGCTTCCACTTCCTCCGAGCCACCAGCTCGAGCTTCCTCTCCTTCTGCAGAGTGACAAGGGGTTTGAAGAAGAGCCACCCGGCTTTCCGGACCACCCCCTGTTCCTTCTCAAAGAGCAGATCCAGTTGTTCCAAAGAGCTGAGGGACTCGCTGCTGGACTCAGCGGTTTCTGTGGACGTTTCTAGGTTCTCCGTGTTGGTCCTGCTCATTTCCAACTCTCGCATGAAATTCTCATAAATGTTCTGACGGAGGGGATCGCTGCCAATCGCGTGAGCAGATTCGCTTCTCTGGGACAGGATCTGAGCCGAGCCCCCTGACCACAGGGAAGCAGACACCTGGGAAGGCCCCTGCATGTCCACATTGAGTCCATCTGAGCGGCTGTCAAAGTAGTCACTGCCCTCCTTGGACCTCGGCTCCTGTGAGCAACACAGATGACCACCCATCAGAGGTTACGTATATCCAAAGCACCCCTTCCCCAACACGGCATATGTGTAATATTGTTGCTTGCTAATACTGCTGCTGCAAAGCAAGATTCTTTTAACAAAAACGCATCTTTAATCACCAAGTCTCCAAACCAGAAAGAATTGTAGAGACAGTGTTGCCCAACCCAATTTATAGCCAGTGGAGTCAATGCTTAAAAACGTAAATAAAATACCACTGACTATTCTAAATCTAACCTACGCTTAGCATCAAGACTTGAGCTAGTATGTTTAATAAACACGCTAGTGAGGATTTCTAGACTGATGTTTCTTTGCTAACTGTGAATCAGTGTCTTCTGGGAAAGAATTCATGTCCTTACAGTCTGTTTTCCTTCTGGACCTTTTTAAAGTTAATTAGAAAATCCCTAGTTCCAGGGTCAAAGTGGGTGGGGACATAGGGACTCAGTGTTGTTATTCACACACTTCTCTTTCTCCCCACGATAAACACAGTGTCCAGCTTCTCAGGTTTAGACTTGGGGATCTCTAGCTTCCTGTTTTTCCACTTCAGAGAGTAAAAACCATGCACCTGGAATTCCTTATTCACAAAGTGTAATGGCTAGTAACTGTAGCTTTTTCTCATAACTAATATTTTTTCTTTTTTTTTTTTTTGCTGAGGAAGATTCGCCTTGAGCTAACATCTGCGCCAATCTTCCTCTGTTTTGTATGTGGGTCGCTGCCACAGCATGGCTGCCGACAAGTGGTGTAGGTCTGCACTGGGAACTGAACCCGGGTCTCGCCAAAGCAGAGTGCAACGAACTTAACCACTTAACCACAGCGGGGGCAGCCCCACTAATGTTTTTTCTTAATTTGGGAATTTCTTTCATGAAAAGAACACACTATTCATTCATGCACATTCTTTTATTTAAATACCTATTTTATTCTAAGCACTGGGGATACCAAAGACATGATTCTTAACTTTAGTATTTATTCCAACACAAAATCAGACACAGGCAGCTCTAAATAAAATGAATATTTACATAATAACTGCTGCCCCCTATTAGGACTCCATGCACTGAACTGGCCACGTACAGAGCTGACAACATGAGGGTTTCCTCTGATATCTGGATGAGAAATCTAGTCATTCAAGAACAATAACTTCCATAGAGGCCATTCATTGGTAAATAGCAGTTAACTAAATTCTCAGCAGAAAGTGTGCTTAATTTACGACTTAAAAGACACTGACATTCCAAATTTAGAGCTTAGATTAAGGTAACTCTGCAGAGATGCTAAGCACACACTCTTCTACTCAGGGGCTAGTGGGCTTTCAATGATATGTCCTTACCCATAAATAAACATGAGGGAAACCTGGGGCAAGGACCATCCTCGAAAGGCCTTATTTTGAATATTCCACTGTGTGGAGGGGTTTTCTTTTCAGAAATTTCATCCAGAAATCAAGTAGCAATTATTTGCTATCTTTTGTAGGAAAATCATCTAATGAAGAGTGTTTACAAATACCCAGGGGCTATCAACAACTGAACCCCAAACATAGCTATTACTAATGAAAATATTATTTTCTGCTTCTGTTTACACTAGGTCCCATAGTCATATTTATTTATATACTGATGCTTATGCAAGAACAGAGCAAATGAGCCAGCTCCAGTGAGTCACTTGGGAAACTTTCAAAACAGTTTAAGATTTTTTTAATTGTCACTTTGTTACTCTTCAGAAACTCCTAGGAGGTGAAGGAATACTTCTCGTTTAGCTAGTATTAACATTATTTCAGCTATGAGTAAGACTCTCTGACTCATAGCCCCCAAACACTGGGATTGCCTCTGATACCCAGCAAGAGCTAAAATGGGATGTTTCAAAACTAGCACAACCCGCCAGAGAAAGCCACTCAAAGGCCAAACCTAAATGCGACCTATTAACACTCTTGACATTGTATCTGATAAGAGGGAGAATTCAAATTGTAGTTTTAACTTTTTAAATACTCAACCGTAGCAAAGCAAGATAAATTTTCCTTTTTGAGAAATGGGAAAAGATTACATTTTAGCATTTATAACTGATTCTTATACATAGACATGAACTTTCCCAGTCTCTAATAAATTTCTAAAGCTTTCAATCTAGAATCCTAATAACCAGTGACATATTTCCAGGCTAATAGGAATGAATAAATGAATGAATATCCCTAAATAGGTTCAGTTGGCTTTCCTGATCACTGTGTTATAGATGTGAAACTAAGGTGCCATATTATGCACGTACACAAGCAGTCTGATCTCCATTTCCCCGCAATCAGACAATCATAAACAATGGACAATGCACCTGGATGACCAGGACACTACGGCAAAGAGTAGAGAGGGACTCAAGAGATGTCACTCAACTTCTCAGGAACTAAAGGAAAACTCTGATCACCATTCCTAGCTTTCTAGGAAAAAATACCAGATTCTCGCCTTGTCATTCTTCATATGCCATTTTCCATCATTACAAAGTAAGGACCACTAGTCCTCTGTAGAAATTCACTGTGACTACGCAGCCTGCAAAAAGCAATGAGAGTCGAAAAAGGGACAGAAAGTTAGGGGCTCTGGGTCCAAATCTACTCTGCAATAAACTGCAGTAGTCATCAGTGTTGCCCACTAAATATTTCCGGTCCTCCCCTGGGGCACAGGGTAGGATCATTTCCTACTCCTTCCCTCCCTCCCTGGGAGTTAGGGATGGCCATGTGACTTGCTGTGGCCAATAAATGTGAACAGAAGTGAAACATGTCACTACTAAGTGGAAGCTTGAAAAGCCAACACACGATTTTCTTTCTCTCTCTGCCACAGTGGCTTGCAGTATTGCAGATCGTAACCTGGTAACCAGATGGGGACTTCGGGTTCTAGAGAGAAACAACGTAACTCAGAGTCACAGCATGAGTGAGACATAAACTTTGTGCTAAACCTCAGAGATTTGAGGGCTCTTTGTTACCTCAGCATAACTTAGCCTACCCTGACTAACAGAACTGAAGGTTTACCCAGGACAAGAGCAAGGCCTCACAGGGCTCAGTACAGCCACATTAATACCAAGAGTTTATCAGCATAAACACATACTCCTCTCCAGCACCTGTCTATTCTTGCTCACTCTCTCTCTTTTCCTCCCTCCTTCCTTTTTTGTGATTACTGTGATATCCTTTCTCAATTGTGCAAGTTTTCTCACTAATTAATCTGCTTTCAGGCTCTAACTCACCAGAGTGGTTGAAAGCCCTACAAAGAAAGGGTTGCTCTTTTACACCACTTTTTTAAAAAATCAAAACAAACATGTCTATCCATCATGGTAAGACTTTCTGAGCCTTAGCCCTGCTGGCACACAGAAGTTTGTGTGTGTGTAAGAGAATACGAATTGTTTTGGTGCCTTACTACAGTATATTGTCACAAACTTTGCTCCCATGCACTGATCACATTTTTAAGGATCTAAACCTGATCCTCACCTTTAATTGTGAAAGAACAACAAAGGCATAGCCAACAGAAGTGGAATCCTTGCCAAAAGAGTTCCTCTTGTTCACCTTTACGGATTATCAACAGCGGGAACACAGCAAAACTAAAAAGTTGCCTTCGTAGGCCACTTTTTAAAAATCAAAATGCTTTATTATTTTAATATTCCATAATCCTAAAGTAATTAATAGTGGCTTTCAACAGTACCTTGGCTGTGTGGCTAAGTGGAAAAAGCTCATGTCTGAGGTTTAGCAGAAATGGCTTTGCCCCCAGCTTCTCCACTAACTAGCCATATGTCTCCAGGAACGACCCTCAAACTCCTTCAACCTCAGTGTCCTCATATTTAAAATGAGGGAGAGTCCTTTCTTGCTTTCAAATTCAGATTCTTTGATTGTAACCAGTCTGTTCTCAAGTCTACAGGCTTACAAATCATTTAGAGTTAAGTCTTTGGATGATAGAGAATTGAAGGAGGTTCATTTCTCATGAGTGCGCTGGGCAGTTAGGGCCTGCCCGGGACCGATTACGGTCAATACACACTGGCAACTGGTCTGCTTTCGAACTGAACTGAAACTGAACGAGACTCAGTAGAGCCGTGTGTAAGCCAGGTGACAAACGCCGATGAGAAACACACTCTATGCAAATGAGAGATGTAGAATAACTGGCTCATTGCCAGTACCAATTAGGGGTCACAGTAGACGACAGCTAAATGTTAAGTCGGCACTATAACACTTGAATCAAAAAGACATGCAAGTTCCCTGCGTGGGACGGCAGCCCCGGAGCAAGCAGGAGCTATTCCTCTCATTATGCTCAACTGCTGTCAGTTGTTTGGGAAACGGGAGCTGGGAGAAAAAGGTCCAAGAAATCTCTACTGTCTAGTGGCTTAGCCTGAAGAAGTGATGAGCAAGGAGTAAGCAAATTACTATATTTAGGGATATGAAGATCAGAGGAGGATGATCATCTCTTCTTTATCTCGGTGTAAAGGAGCAGAAAGGCAGGGGGTGGTCAGCAGCTTACACATAAGGAGGAAATAATTAATGGTAAGTTTTATAGAAACTATCTGCTCGGGGAAGTTACATTATTTTCCACCCTTAAATCTCTATACAATTTTATAACTAAATATCTATCTAGGATGGTTAAAACGCAAACCCACTGGAGCCAAATTGCCCACTCGAATTCCCTTCAACAATATGACTTATATTGAGCAAGTTAAAAAAAAAAAAAGCAAAAGCTTTCTCCCTTCTATAAATCCTTAAACGTAAAAACAAACAGAATAAAACAAAAAAATAACAGCAATGAACTGAAAACCTAGTAGTCACCACCAGTTACCTAAAATGGCAAACTGTTACTTTCCTTCCTGGTGGCAAACCATTCAAACTTCATAGACTATTAAATATATTACTATTATCATCATGATTCTTCTTTTATCAGCATTACCATGTTTTTGCTATTACATGCACTTAGGTACAAGAGGTTTTCAAAACTGTTAGCTATCTCCATGAGGAAGTGGTGAGATTATACACATAGATCATCAAATTTATTTTTGATGTACTAACTTAAATATAGGAATTTTAATTTCCCCAAAGTAATATCAAGTTCAGGAAGGCTACTCATCCCCAAATAACAACAATCTACCTCTCGTCCTTTTTGTTTAGACTTTGAGAATGAGGTCTAGCAAAATTCTCAGGTAACCAATTCACTGGGGAATTCTCTCGAACTCTGTACTTTGGAAGAACAGTTCGGGCACATCTTGGGATGAATCCTGTGGAATTCACAGGAGAGTACAGGAGGTGAGATTGCACAGAATCGGAGAGATTGAAGTTGTGGGTTAAGCGTGAAAATTCCCATCTGAAGCAAAAGAAAAAAAAAAAAAAATCCCACACCTGCAAACAAGACGTGCCAGGTCTTAGGCTAAACTCTTCACTTTCACGAGCTCGTTTAAGCCTGAAGACAACGCTCCACAGCAGCCTCTGCTAACACGCCCATTTTACAGATGGGGAAACAAAGGGACTCCTTCCTCAGGGTCTACGGTTTACTCACCTGGAGTTTCCTTTTCTTTCTGGAGAGGCTTCCCGTCCAGTCGCTGATGCGGCGCATTCTGGCTTTCAGAGTGTCCTTCTTTGAAGTATCCTCTGCCAAGGCTGTGGACTTCCTGCAGGGGAGGGTGAAGGACGCGTACTGGCCGGGGTCCCTGCGCTCCACTCTGGAGGGCACATCCATGTCGGAGGCGAAGGAGACGCGGTGGCTGAGGCTGGCGTGCGTGCCGATGTACTCGTCGGAGAGCCCGATGGCGGAGGGGGACAGGCTCCCCAGGGTGGCGGCCGGGTAGAGCTCCCGGAGGGAGGAGAGGGAGGAGCTTTGCGTGAAAGGCTTTTGGGCATCCCTGGGGGGGAAGCCGCGGAGGCTGCGGTCAGGGGTGCCGGGGGCCGGGCAGGGGCCCTCGGCCTCGCTGCCCTCGCCGGCGTGGCCCCAGGGCGAGTCGTACCAGGACGACTCTGAACTCAGGGAGCTGCCCTTGCTGGAGCGCGGGCGCGAGTCGGTGGCGGAGAGGCGAGGGCTGGGCGGGGAGTCGGCTCCCGGGGCCAGGGTGGGCGAGTACCGCAGCAGCTGGACCGGCCCGCCCGAGTCCCCCGGGGGCCCTGTGCCGTGGCCGTCACCGTTGTGGAACTCAACCCGGAGACACCCGTCCAACTTGCCCAGCGTCTTGATGAGCACTCGGGGGCTCTTTCGGTCCTCGCCGGGCGGGGTGGATGCAACGCTCTCCTGTCTGCCATAGCAGTTGAGGAGGTGTCCATTGCGGTCCTTGGAGGCCGTGTGGTTATCTGCCACGTGGGGACCTGCCGGTTCATGCCCAACATAGTGGAAGCCGTTCTCGGGGGAGAAGGCAGCGCTGCTGCCCTGGAAATCATTTCCTGACGCATCTGTCCTGTGCTTGGAGTAGGCACTGCCCTTGGAGCCTTTGCCTGTGGGTCCACTCAGTCTCGATGCATAAGGCTGATTGCTCTTAAAGTGGGAAAGGCAGCTTCGGGCCAGGGACCTGGACTTGTAACCTGCTCCGCTGCCTCCGTGAGCCCATCCATGCAATGACTTGTCATCTTTTGCATGAATGCTGCGGATTTTCAGGGAGCAAGGCTTCTGCTTAGCACCAGTAACAGTACTGCTGGGATTTTTAGATCCTTGAAGAGTGTACTGACTCTCGGAGTTCCCCATTTTAACCTAAATTAAGAACAGTGGCGTCAGTAACAGCCATGACCTAAATTACATTCCGTTATGAAAGAACTGTCTAAAGGAAAAAAGTTCTTCACGTTACAAAGGAAGCAAGCAACATCTTTCTGTGCCGGACACAACTCAGAGAAGTAGGAACAAGAGTTACTCACTGAATTGGTTCTCCTCGTGCAATGCAGGTCATCAACCAGACACACAATACTGCACACTCGTGTGCTAGGTACTTTAAACACATAATTTGTTGAATGATGTTAATTCAGAAATTGAACAGGCATAAAAATCAGCTTAAGGCACCCTTTAGGCTTGGGGTTGGGAGGTTTTGAATCAAGGATTTTTGTAGAAAAAAATGAAGGGAAAGTATCTTTACTCTGCCACTCTAATACATTGATTTTTCAGTGACCAGAGAGATACATTTTCATTATCCATAAACTACTGGACGAGCTAATACCACACCCCAGTATAAGCGATTATTACTTAAAAACTACCACGTTTGTAATAACGTGACTCCAGCTCCCATACTCTGTTAGAGCTTTCATATATAACACCAAGTAGGAATGCCACAAAAGAAAAGGACTAGAAGTTCTCAAAACAAGGCTGAGATGACAAAAAAGAGGGAAAAAATAAAAGCTCGCATTTGGGACAGAAAAAACATTTTAATAAAGCTAACCTCTGAAACTTTTCTAAAGACTTTAAGGGTCCTCACTTTAGAACATGATGAGAGAAAAAAAGTTTGAAGCTGGCTTGTTAGAACGTGGGTATCCGAAAAAATTGTTACATTCTTTTAATTCCCTTTAAAACCCCAATTTGCTCAATGAGTCTGTTAGTGAAACCAAACTCAATGTGAAATTTGATCCAACCTTTCACCTTCAGTTTTTCATTCTAACCATTATATCAGTATTTGAGGCAAGATGAAGGTGATGCTTCTAGCTATATTTCCAAACATATTTAGTAGATTTTTGTTTTTGTTTTTGTTTTTTTTTTTTTGGTGAGGAAGATCAGCCCTGAGCTAACATCCATGCTACTCCTCCTCTTTTTGCTAAGGAAGATCGGCTCTGAGCTAACATCTATTGCCAATCCTCCTCCCTTCCCGCCCCCCCCCAAAGCCCTAGTAGATAGTTGTATATCATAGTTGCACATCCTTCTAGTTGCTGTGTGTGGGACGCGGCCTCAGCATGGTCAGACAAGCGGTGCATTGGTGCGCGCCCGGGATCCGAACCTGGGCCGCCAATAGCAGAGCGAGCGCACTTAACCACTAAGCCACGGGGCTGGCCCATATTTAGTAGGTTTTTAACTTTAATTCTTTTATACTTAAGAACGTACAAAACAAAAGTCAAATGGACTGACTTTTCTCTGGTGGCAGTTATCAAACCCATTTTAAAACAAAATAGCGGGACCAAATAATTAAACCTGTACTTATTACCTTAATCACAGTCATGCAACTTGACACGAACCAGACTCACGTGAGCTGAATTTACCTGCAGTACAGTTTGTGCTCTGAGGGAGATTAATGCTCAGTCGGCTTTACATGGTCCTGGGAGCAAGGCAGCATGGTTAACACGTGCAGGAAGTGAGTCCGTGAAATGATGCTGAAAAACAGAAACACGGGAAAACTCTGTCAAGCATTTTACATGAAGCTCCCAAAGAGTAAAGATGAGGGTTTAATGTAAATTATCTGAAGAAGTTACTGGTGTCCAGAATCACTGTCAAAATAATAAATGAAATGTCTGTGAACTGCTCGATCCATCGGGGTTGCTGGGAAGATGGAAAGAAAGCCAGAACTGCCCATGCAATCTTGTAAAGGCCATTAACTCAACACACAGTGTGCAGTCAAGGGCACGCCTTTCTGTCAGGGGAGAGCAGGTGAAAGTGCTGGAATGAGTCATGGCTCATCTGTCGCCACTACTAGGAAAATAACTCTCAGACCAGCCACACTGACAAGATTCCAGGAGCATCATCGTGACACAACAAAAACGGCTCATTGTTCTCATTTGACTAAGCAGTAAAAACAGAACCCAAAACGTAGAATCCCAGTGAAACCGTCCTTGGCTAAAATAACTTATGTCATAGAGGTTGACCCCATACATGAGATTAAAAGTTTTTCTCAAGCGGAGGTTTGGGCCTTGCTGCACGAGGAGTGGGGGCAGGAGGCCCAGCCTTGGAGGAAGACGACAGGCTGGGGGGGCTGCCATCTGGCAGTGCTCACGGCTGGGACACAAAGCCTTTATTTTCTCTGCACACACAGAGAACAGGGCAGTGAGGGTTCAATGGTGACTTCTTTCCTCTTTATTTAAAAAAAAAAAATTTATTTGTAATTGTAAAATACATACCACATAACATTTATCATCTTAACCATTTTAAAGTGTACTGTTAGTAGTGTAAAGTACATTTGCGTTGTTATGCAATCAATCTCCAGAACTCTTCATCTTGCAAAACTAAGGCTCTATACTCATTAAACAACAACTCCCCATCCCTCTCTCCCCCATCTTCCCAGCCCCTGGCAACCACTGTTCAACTTTCTGTCTCCATGAACTGGACTACTCTAGGTACCCCATGTAAGTAGAATAACACAGCATCTGTCTTGTTGTGACTGGCTTATTTCACTTAGCATTATGTCTTCAGCGTTCAACCGTGTTGTAGCATATGTCAGAATTTCCTTCCTATTTAAGGCTGAATAATATTCCATTGTATGGACATACAACATTTTGTTTATCCATTCGTCTGTCAATACTTAGATTACTTTCCACCTCTTGGCTACTGTGAATAATGCTGCTGTGAACATAGGTACCCACAAATATCTCCCTGCTTTCAGTTTTGGGGGGTATATACCCAGAAGTGGAATTGCTGGATCATATGGTAATTCTAGTTTTATCTTTCTGAGGAACCACCATACTGTTTTCCATAGCAGCTATACTATTTTACATTCCCACCAACTGTGCACAGAGTTCCAATTTCTCTTCAACCTTACCAACGTTTGTTATCTTCTGTTTTTTTTTTTATAGTGGCCATCCTACAGGTATGAGATGATACCTTATTGTAGTTTTGATTTGCATTTCCCTAACAATTAGTGATGTTGAGCATCTTTTCATGACTTTTTGGCCATTTGCATAGCTTCTTTAGAGGGTTCAAGAGTGACTTTTAAAGTTAAGGAAGCACTGGCAGGACTGAAGTTTCTCCAGTAAGGCCAAAGACACAAGTCGGCCTCCAATATCTATGCACCCATTTTAAATTGGAAAAAAAAAAAGTCAAAAAGATTTCCCACTTCAGCATCAGCAGGAGATCTACTAGCTCATTTGAGTCTATTAAGACTGAGACCAGCATCTAATTAACGAGGTCTGAAATGTACCTGCTATGTTACACTTACCTTTTAGTGGGCGGCTCTCACAAACCTCTATTTATTTATTTTTTTCCCCCCAAAACCCCAGTAGATAGTTGTATGTCATAGTTGCACATCCTTCTAGTTGCTGTATGTGGGACGCGGCCTCAGCATGGCCGGAGAAGCAGCGCATGGGTACGCGCCCGGGATCCCAACCCGGGCCGCCAGTAGTGGAGCGCACGCACTTAACTGCTAAGCCGCGGGGCCGGCCCCTCACAAACCTCTACACGACGGAATAACCACTGGTTGAGTTGGCCCCCTGACATCTCTGACACCAGAGCTGGACCACAAGAACCCCACCTCTCCCAAGTTCAAAACCTGAGTTGTCAGTCTTTCCTCAGCTACACTTTTTAACGTAGGCAACCAGAAGTGGCCACAGAAGCCACCGGCTGCTGCCGCTGGGACCTCTCACAGGGAGCCGATCCCGGTGTGAGCCTTGGTGTCTGTCACTTTCATCAAGACCAAGGTCCAGTGATGACCCCAAAGGTGACAGGCTCCTGGGTGGCTCACTCAGCAGCCACCCCTCTTTGTCAGGCCCTTCTCATCTGAGGGTCATGCGCCTGAAGACGAGCGCACACAGCACAGAGTCCAGTCCCCGACACCAGGGCACAATGCAGTATTGAGAGGCCCACTGTGTCATCCGCTCAGGGACACAAAGGCTGGGTTCAAAACCATAGAAGGGCTCTGGGTTGGAAGCTTATGGCCCAGCAGCCGATTCTTTTTTTTTTTTTTAACAGTTTTATTTATTTATTTTTTATTTTTTTGTAAGGAAGATCAGCCCTGCCAACATCCATGCTAATCCTCCTCTTTTTGCTGAGGAAGACCCGCTCTGAGCTAACATCTATTGCCAATCCTCCTCCTTTTCTTCCCCAAAACCCCAGTAGATAGTTGTATGTCATAGCTGCACATCCTTCTAGTTGCTGTATGTTGGACGCGGCCTCAGCATGGCGGGAGAAGCGGTGCGTCGGTACGCGCCTGGGATCCGAACCCGGGCCGCCAGTAGCAGAGCGCACACGCTCAACTGCTAAGCCACAGGGCCAGCCCCCAGCAGCCGATTCTCACCTAAACTCGTCTTCCTACTGTTGAAATTAAATAGCTTAATTTTTTATTTCATGTTATATTTCAAAAAACATAGCCCTCGACACAGTCCTTCACGAGGCACCATCCTTTACAAGGACACTCAAGGACTGCACCTTTGGGGCTCCCATAACATTCAGTCAACACCTGCTGAATTGAACGAAAGCAACTTAGAAGGCTGATTGGGGCACAGACTAAGAACAGGAATCCTTCCCAACTGGGTCTGGCTGAAAGATTCATGTCTAAACCCACAGAGAAATGTCTTGATAATTAACATTATCCTGCCCAGAGAAAAGCAACACGGAGATGACAGAGGTGGACAACCATGTGCACTGTCACATGCGGGTAATGCTGACCAGCTGTTCCACGTCCCCCGTCAATCCTGCAGCAGGAAAACAGCCTTCAACTGTAGTGAAGAATGTATCCAATATTTACAAGGAATTTATTGACAGCAAGGGTAATGGCTGAGGACAACTATGAAACTGTATCCCTGAGGAGTTTGGCAAATTGAACAGATACTTCTCTGTCACACTTCAGCTGTGATTTTTGTCCGGAAGCAAGAGAATAAATAGGTCAGATTTTTAGCGCCTCTGACCCACTGACTCCTTTACTAAGGGAATTTTATGCTATTTTGGTTAAAATTTTTTTTTGTTGATAGAAAGGAGGATGAAAATAGTGAAACAACAGATTTCCTGTGAACTTCTGAAAAAGGAAAAAAAAAACAGTTAGAAGCCCCCAGTGTCTTTAAACAGAAAGAATATACACCTTAGGGATACTAGCCTGCAATAATACGTATTAGGTATACTAATATGCAATAGACCCCCAGCTGACCAAGATGTAATTTAAGTGAAGTCCCTCTAGAATAAATGATATGGTGTTAAGACTCTGTGTACTTAGCAAATATTGTATGCTGTGTATACAGTTTTTACAATTATTTTTTATTTATTGGATAATTATAATATTAGAATTTTTAAAAATTGACCACAATCTCATGAATCTAAAAAAAATTCCTGTTTTTCATTTTCTGCATCCCCTTCCAATCCCCATTCATACGAAAATATTATGTCACTTTTTAAGCTAAAATCACAAACAATAATGGAAGTGTTTTTTTTTTTTTTAAATTGTGATCAATTAACCATCCCAGAACTGTCCAGCAATGTGGAGTAATTTCACAAATACGTCATCACGATCCCAGCAGCCACGTGATCGACTGAATCCCACTGCAAAACATCTTTCAGGGGGAAATTCAAGATTTACCTTTTCCTCATTTGTCTTGAGCTTGGGCTGGAACCGATGTGTCGGATTCCCACAGTCTCCACTTCCGTGTAGCGTAGAGTTTATAGCAAAGGAAACTAAAACCTTCCAACCCTGCTTTGTCTCCGGCCCCGAGCCGGCTGCCCAGATGCAACTACAGGGGAACAAGAGGCAACCCCTGGTGGGCAGATGGTGCCGTGAGGGGGCCAGGGGGCTGACTGGTGACGGCGAGCAGCGGAGGAGGGGGGACACTGCACAAAAGCAGATTTGTGGCTGGGCAAGGCAGTTAGGGGAAGCTCAAATTCTGCCAACATGAGATACCAACACGGCTTCTCACATAATTCCAGAGAGATCTTTATACTGAAATAGGAGCCTCTTCATTGTCCAGAGCAAATATTTCAGATAGGGATAAGAGCTAAGAAGAAGATAAGAACAGGGCTAACCATCATTAACCATAACAATATCTACTTGGTTCCCTCTATTTGGGAGGGTGGGGGTGGGAGGTTGAAGAGAGCTTCAATCATTAGGGAGACAAATCTCAGAATCCTAGTCTGGTTTGTATCAGAGAACTTGGGTTTAAGACCTGTTTCCATCTCTTAAATAGCTTGTGAGTCTTTAGGCAAATTACTTACACTTTCTGAATCTCATTTTCCCCATTTGCAAGTTGAAGATAAAAATATCTGCTCTACCTACCTGAGAATCAAGTGTGGAAATACATGTGAATCCACCTAAAAAACTGTGACATGCAACACAAATACACAGTACTATTATTAATTTTTAGTTATAAATTTAATTTTGTGTACTATGATATCAAACATTATTATAACAGTCTGCTGTTTCAGATATTTTATTAATCATTAATTATTGCATTAATTATTATAT